GGCCCTTGGGCATTCCTTCCTCCAAATCCTAGGGCCAAGAGGCAAAGCAGAGAAGAAACAGCTTTCTCCCAGTGTTGCTCCTTCTGTGAGTTTAATGAAGCCCTGAGTGGGGATGTTGTCTAGTGGAAGCCTGTGGATGGCAGAGTCCAGCAGCTCTCCTCAGGCCCGGGGCATTGCTCGTGGGGCTCAGCCTCTCCCCAGCTGTGCTAGGCAGAATCCTACATGGGAGGTAAGCTGCCCCACCACCTCCATGGAGTTATTTCCTATTATCTCTACCTCTTCAGCTTGGGTGGACCTGTTAGTCGCTTCTAGCCAAGAGCACATGGTGAAGTCATGCATTCATGCCTGTGATTGAAAATACTGACATGGTGTAACAAACTTCATCTTCTAAGGCACATTATAGTGAGAGAGACTCCCTGCTGGCCCCGAAGAAGCAAACTGCCATGGCATGAAGGGCCTGTGGAGAGGCCGCATGCTGGAATCTGCAGACCTCCAGCTGCTGAGAGACTCAGTTTACACATGGAAAATGGACAGGTCATATGTAGACATGGAACTCAGACCCAAGCCTTCAGAAACCAGCCCAGGAAACCAGCCCACTCATACAGCAATCAGCCGAGGAAGCCAGCGGCTGCTGCTAAGGCAGATAGCAGGAACTCAGACCAGAACCCAGCAACTGGTCCAGGAAGCCAAACAATAACCCCTGTTATCATTGGTCCAAAATGACAAGAACTTGATGAATAACTGACAGCTTCCTAATTGTGTCCCTGTTTCCAACTTGGGACCAACCAGCCCAATATGCCCACCCAGCCAGTCGCCAGGGATGCTGCCTGCTTGTTAGCCTGCCTCCAGTTTCCCCAGGCCAGCAGCCTCCCGCCAGGCATACCGGAACTGAACCTTCCCATTTTCTACTCTAGATCTTTCCCACTCCTCTGGCCTGCCTTTGAGTCTCTGCCAAACGCAAATACTGGTGGCCAGCTCCCTTGCTCTAGCGAGCTCTGAATAAATGGCTTTTGCTTTTTCTCATCTGGTTGGTCTCAATTCATCTCCCCAGCTCTGAGCCTTCAGCCACACAGCTGCAAGGAAGTGATCTGGGCCAACGACCACAGGAGCTCAGCAGAGACCTGGATGAGAGTTCAGAGGTGTGGGCTGTGGCCTCAGCCCCGGTCAGCACCCCTACCAAAGCCAGTGAGATGCTGGGCAGAGAACCCAGCTAAGCTGTGCCCAGACCCTTGACCCATGGAAACTGTGAAATGGTAAACGTGTGCGGTTTTAAGTGGCTGCATTTGTGATGATTTCTTATGCAGCAATAGAAAACCAGTATAGATGTCCTTAAGCTCATGAGGCTGGACTGGAGCTGACCTCTGACCCCTCCCCAGTACACATACCAACTGGATAGTCAGTAGCCTCAGAATATCGTGAGCTGTCAGGCCCAAACGCTATATGCCTGAGGAGCACCACTGCCAACAGGGCAGCAAATGTAGCAGTGCACACTGCCAAGGGGAGCAGCCTGATGGACACGCTGAAACTTAAATAAGCCTGACAGAGATGTTAGGAAGATGGGGGAGAAATTAGCTATAGGAAACAGGAATCAGAGATCACACAAGAGGCAGGCAAGTGGAAGTATCAGGTACGAAAATGAGAATATTTTAGTATAGAAAATGATAGGTGGAACAAAGAACAGCAGAAGAACAATGAGAGGGAAGATGTGATCCAGGACCCCTCCCAGAAGGCAGCTGGGAGACTGGAGATGGAGAGGGAGAAGTCAGGAGGCACGGGAGACAGAAGTAAGCATGCAGACCCAGGTTACAGGAGATCCAAAAGGAGAGGAAGGAGGATTTGAAATAAGGTCCTTAAATTCTGTAGAATTTAAAAACATGAAATTCTACCGATGAATGGGGCACAGTTCTCACTATGGATAAGGAAAGACTCAGAACACAACACAGAAGAATTTAAAATCACTACACAGGAAGCTATTGATCTTCAGCTTCCAGATTACCAAAGCAGATCACCTACAATGGAGCAAGAATTAAATTGAGCTTAGGCTTCTTGATAGCACAGCTATGCCTGAGAAGATGATGGAATCATATTTTTGAAGTATTAGTAACTACAACTCTGAACCCAGAACTTTATAATTAGCCAAACTGCCATTGAACTGTGAGGATATAATAAAAGAATCTTCAGGCATATAGTCTTCAAATGCGTGCTCTATGCTAGGGGTGCAAAAATGCAAAGGGCCACAGAAAACAGGCAGCCCAAAGGAGCCGAAGCAGCACCAGCCCAGCTGTTCAAGGAACACAGGGAGGGCTGACAGCCAGGGGCTGTGGGGAGCAGCAGGAGATAGGGTTAAAGAGGAATGGCAAGTGAGGATGCTGTGAGCCACCAGGAAGGCTGTGTTTCTTCCAAGAACAATGAGAAGCCAGAGGGTGAACAGGAAAGTGATGGGATCTACTTTCTCTTCTAAGCCCCTCGTTCTGCCCACTGCCTGTGGAATCACCAGTAGGGGGCAGGAGCAGGTGCAGGATGCCCCGAGAGGGGCTCTGGCATCTGGGACATGAGGGTGGCTTGGCCTAGGCTGGGTACGGATGTGGGGAGGACGAGGACAGAGGCAGATTCCATTTCGTGGGGACAGCAGGCAGATGTCATAGGTGTGTTTGTAATGGAGATGAAAGAAAAAAAGGCTGGAAACTGAGAATAACACAGAGATAAGGAAGTTTTGGGAGAGCAAATCAGTTCTAACTTTGATGTGCTAGCACTGAGTTGCTTCCTCGCCAGAGTGGAAGATGAAGATGGTAGTGGAGTACCAAATTTAGGGATTGGGGCGAGGTCAGGGCTGGGGTTACAGACATGTGGTCACTGTGTCACCTGAAATCAATACAACTATTATATTTAAGAAAGAATTTAAGAACCTTGGCCCAAGGTAAACTGCTCTAGAGTGCCTTCTCCTGGAGACATCTTAAATACTTTCTCTACAGCAGGGATATGTTCAGCAAAGAGGCTACGTCTATCAGTTCATCGAGCAGTGTGGCATGGGCACATCTAGTTACTGTCCTGAAGGATCATGCTGTGCACATGCCAATGCTGCCTATGTGTGTGAGAGGACGCAAAGGTAAGAGTCTCCCTAGGTGGAAGGGCTTCCTTTGGGGATGGAGAGGGTGTACATGCTAGCATCTTATCTATGCTGACCATAGAATCCCTGACTGCCTGCATTTGGGGGAGATGTTAGGTATGAAGCCTGGTTTGGTGACTTGGCCCAGCAGAAGTGACATCATGTTGGGCCCGTCTTTCTAACAGTTGGCATAGATACAGTGTTTAGAACCAGGGGAAGAAAATAATTACCCAGAGACAGTGAATAGTATGGAGCTGAGGGTGGGGGAGGGGAGGGAAGAGAGGAGATTCTGGTGACACAGGAGGAGGCAGCAAATGAGAGTGAAGAGGGGCTTCCCAGGAGGCAGAGCAGATCCAGAAAGCACTGTGTAGGCATGGAAGCCAAGAGAAAATGGGGTTTCAGTATAAGGAAGAAGTCAGTTGTGTGGAATAAAAGGATGAGAGGGAGGGGGCCATGGAACTGGAGACATCCTGAGCAATAGTGGCTTTGACAAAAGCCATTTTAGCCTAATGTCGGGGACAGATTGGAGCAGGTAGAAAGCAAACAGTGGGAGAGGAGACAAGTAATTCGGACAAGAGTGATCCTATCCAGGAATTACAGGTGGCCTGGAGGAGAAGTCAGCAGACTTTTTCATTATGGTCTAGCTAGTATATTTTGGGCTTTGTGAAATAGGTGATATTTTTGAATGTAGGTTTTATCATTAATCAGGTTGGCTGAAGCCAGCAGATCAGGAGAGAACTGCCATTGAAAAGATAGCTTGTCCCTCACAGTTTCTAAGAAGGGGCACACTGCACCGTGGGGGGAAGGGGCACAGGGTCAGGCAAGAGGCAGAGACAGCCAGAGGAAGACATGGGCAAGAGCCTTGATTGTGGTTTTTGCAGGCAGGCATGGGTGAGCAGAGTAAGCAGGCTTCGAATAATTTCATTAAATTATATTTTGAACGATTTCCACAGGCTCTGGGGCACAGGGACTGTGCCTAGTTGCCTAGTTCCTGGCCTTTGGTGCCGGAGAAGGGTGGGTCTTAGTGGCCCAGGGATGAGGCCTGAGTAAGGATGTAGTTGGGGTACCGGTTTTGGATTGGTGAGTTTGCATATGAAAGGCATGCTCAGAGGGTGAATTGCTTGCTGTCTTCAGGAATTAGCTAATCCTGGGAAGAGCAGCCCCTTCCAGTACCAGCAATGCCCCAGAATATCAAAGCTTCAGAATAAAAAGACATGCTTAATATAGAGTGTCCCTGTTGCAGCTACTAAACTTTGCTGTTAATGCAAGAAAGCAGCCATAGAAAATATGTAAATGAATGGTTATAGCTGGGTTCCAATAAAGCTTTATCTAAAAAAATCAGCTGGTAGCAGACTCACAAACTCCAAGGGACTAGCAGATACCAAAGGGGAGGGGTGGAGGAGGACAGGTGAGGAGGGAGGAAGAAGAGGATTGAGGGGCATTATGATTAGTACTCATGGTGTAGAGGGGATCATGGGAAAGACAGTGTAGTACAGAGAAGACAAGTAGTGACTCTGTGGCATCTTACTACACTGATGGACAGTGACTGCAATGGAGTGGTGGTGGGGAACTCGATAATATGGGTGAATGTAGTGACCACATTGTTCATTGTTTTTCATGTGAAACCTTCATAAGAGTGTATATCAATAATGCCTTAATAAAAAAACAAAATCAAATAAAAAAATCATCTTGTGAGCCAGATCTGGTGCACAGGTTGTGTAGTATGCTGACTCATATCGAGACAAAGAAATCAGAACAATTAGAACAGGTGATAATCAAAGATCACACTAAAGAAACTTTTAAAAAGCTGCAAAAGAAATCATTAAAAGGGATCAAAATGTTTTTAACTGTGAGGTATACCAAATCAATTAAAGGACAATGGTACTCCCATACATCCTGGAAAAATGCTTCAATTAGAAAGATGAGGAAAATTCTTAAAAAAAAAAAAAAGGCAGCACCTACAGTAATGAAGAAAAAACCTACACTTCTAAGATTAAATTTTAGAAAGTAATGAAGCAATGGCTATAGAGGTTTGAAGAGAAAGGATATCAGTTAATTATTTAGTGCTAGTTAATATTGTGTATCAAATTACCCCAAGACACAGTGACTTAAAACAACTACTCCTTTTCCATCATTATGTAGGTCGACTGGGCTTAACTGGTGGTTCAGCTCCATGTGGTGTCAGGCGGGGTCACTCACACAGCTGCAGTAAGCCAGGAGCTCCGTTAGGATGGATCAGCCAAGAGGACCTTCCTCACACGTCTGTCACCTCAGCTGGAGTGGTAGGAACAGTGCACACCACCCTGGACGCTCTCCACATGGTGTCCCATCATTCAGTAGCCTACGGCAAGATTACATGGCTCTGAATCTCAAGAAGGCAAAAATGGGGGCTGCCAAGCCTGTAAGGTCCTAGCATAAGGCAAGAGCCACAGGGTATCACCTTTTCCATGTTCTACTGGTCCAAACAGGTCAGAGAGTGAGGCCAGACTCAAGGAAAGAGGAAATGGACCGACATCTCGATGAGAAGAGTTGTATGTACATAGTAGGATGGGAGAATCTGACAGGGGCCAGATTCTTTGCAGATAACCTACAACAGAAAGCAATGATTCCATGCACATTTGTGTGTAAAGACATCATATTTTCTCAGATACACATATGCTCAGCAAACTTGTACACCTTATGTCCTTGAAAAAAAATATGGTAGATTATATTCTAGCTGAGTTATAATATTTTAATCTATATTTCTAGCTGATGAAAATATAAATCATTAAGACTGGTAAAAACGTGACATGAAAGACAGGTGAGTGGAGTTTAAGTATAGAATTAAATCTAAATATTGCTATAAATAGAGTTGAAATCAAAATAGATATAAAATTAATTCTATTAAGATGAGTCATATAGCATAAAAATAATGACTTAGTAATACAAATTTCTGTCCTGAAGTTCAGAGCACCAGAAGGAATAGGAGGGTAGTCATGGGATGTGAGCAAGGAAGAGGAAAGCGTGGTAAATTCCATATTAGGCATGTGCAGAGCCATGGACTTGTTATTTAGGTAGTCAGGTTGGCAGTTTTAAAATAAATGAACGATAACCAGGAGTCTTTATTTTGCATCCCTTCAAAACTGCTCCTGGCTCGGTAAATGATATGACTATTTACCGAGGTGCTTCACCTGGAAACCTCAGCACTGTCTGGTATCCACAGGGGCTCCTGTTCTTCCCCAGTGTGCCCTGAGGACTCATCCTCAGATATGGGAAAGGTTTGGGATATAAACACACACGTGCAACATACGCACACACCCACCCACACACAATTGTTTGTGTTTCATTATACCTCTACAGTCTGAAGACAGTGTTTCTTCAGTTAATGTAAACAAACGTTTAATATTTTAAGTCACCCTCTACATTTAGTAAATTTCTGGTGGCTAAATGAGAGGAAAGTGTAACCTAGATTTTATCCAAATGTAGTACAGGAGGGCTATCTACAGTGTACATCCAGTTGGTCCTACCTTCATAGAGAGGGGAGGCAAACTTTCCCTCTACGCTTAAGAGTCTCTGATGGGGCCAAGAATTAAGTAGAAGACAGACCAACAGGAGAAAAGCATACAGATTTCACTTTTACATGTACATAGAAGCCTTCACAGGAAAATGAAGACGGAAAGCAGTTAGGCCAAAGTGCTCCTATACAAGTTTGAATTAAGACCAGTAATTGTGAAAAAGTAACTAACATATAGGGAGTCAAAAGGAAGAGAGGTTATTTCCACAGATTCTACTTGGCCTCGGCTCCACTGTTGTTTTCCTCCCAGTATAGTGAAGGCAGCTTCTATGTGGGAATTTTATCTTCTGCTTTCAGGAAGAAAAGGGGAATCAAGAGTATCTTTCCTGTACCTGTTTTCTTTCAAGTGCCTTAAGCTAATATTTAATCAATCTGCCAAATAGACATATGTTGGAGTGGTAGGTTCCAAACCCCTCCCCTAGTGAACCTCTTGAATCCATCCACCTACCTGGCTTTAGCCACCATCTTCATGTCCCCCACGCCCCCTGGCCTGGTGACTGCAAAGCTACCCCACGTGTCTCCTCCCATTCACTGCTAACTCCTCCTACAATCCCTTCTCCCCACAGATGCCTTTGTGGTCATTTAAAAATGGAAATCAGATTGAGCCTTTCCCTTTGCAACCCTCCTTAACAGTCCCTAAGCCCCTAGCTTCAGTACCCGTGGCTTTCTCCCTGCCCCTTGAAGCCCACCTTAGGGCATTGGCTCTGGCTGTTCTTTCTGCTTAGACTGGAATTTTCTTTCCTAGAAATTGACTTAACTGGGTCTCTCTTGTCATCAGTTTCAGCTTGAATGTAGCCTACTCAGGTGGGTCTTCTCTGATCACCCAAATAATGTAAGTCCTCAGGCTGCTCTCACATTACTCTGGCATAAATATATCTTCATATTTACGTATTTATTGTCTGTTTTCCCCCATTAGATGGCAAGCACCCCGAGAGAAAGATTTTACCTGTTTTATCCTATATCCACAGTGCCTGCCACTCAGTAAATAATTAATCAAGAGTTATGTGCTCAATAAAGGAGTGAATGAACCCATAGAGAACAGTACAACTCAGGTGAAGCCCCATCCTCTGCTCAAATTCTCGCTGGGCTTCCACAGCCCACCTGAGAGCCTTTGCCCTTAATGCTTATCTCGGGCTTTCCCTTCCTCCAGGTTTTGCTCAAATACCACCTTCTCCACCAGGCCTGAATTGATACCCCACCTACTTAATTCTACTCCCTACAGCAGACGCCAGCGCTCCCAGACTCCTTGTTTCACTTTCTCAACTTTTCCCTGTGGCTGACCTCTTTTAACACCCCAGATATAACTTACTGAGGTTCCAGGCTTACCCTCATCTCCGGCCCCTGCGGCCCAGAATCAGCTCCTCCACAGCAGGGAAGGCCTGTTTTGTTCTCCAGCGTATCCAAATATCAGAGCAGCGTCTGGCCCATAGCAAGTGCTCAATTATGTACCTAATGGGTGACTTGGAACAGAAAGAGAAGTGCAGCGGATTATGTTTTCCTGGGGAGCTAGGGTGATTATAAATAATAAATAAATCTTGGGATTTTTAGAAGGCAGGATTCACAAGAACCAACACCAATGCAATCCCAGTCTCCTCTTCGGCGTTGTTCTGAAGCACACACAAAAAAATAGGGTCCTCACCCACTTCCTTTACCCGCTTCTGTTTCAAACAGGTGTCTCTGGGGCTCCTTTTGAGACACCGGCGACTTCGATAACTCTCATTGTTAGCCAAGTTCCCCGGGGGGGAAGCGGGAAAACCCAGCGGCTCCTCAAGGACCCGCCTGACTCGGAAGACTGCCGGTTGCTGGCAGGGAATGGTCCGCAGCAACCTACTTCCTTGCCGGTCCGTGTCGCCCTCCCCAGGGGTTACAAAGGTCTCCCAGCCTAGAGCCAAAGCACGTCCCTCCTCTCCACCGGCCGGGCGGGGCTGGGAGGCCCTGCACGCGCAGAAGCCGCCTCAGGCGGCCCGCTTCCCAGCAAGGATGCGGCGCACCGCCCCGCGGCTGGGAAGCGGCAGCCGCCCGGACCCCTAGAGAGCGTCCGAGCCGGCGACGAGGGGCCGAGCTCGCGCTGGCCTCTGGGACTGCGGCGGCCCAGCCTGCGCGGCTGATCCAGGCCTGCAGCTGGGCGGCGGGCTCGCCACGGCACGGGGGTCCCGCTCCGCAGTGAGTAGAGAGAGAGGAGCCCGGGAGGAATCTCCGAGAACAAAACCCTCGTCCCGGGGGAGTACAGAAGAGCCGGGCGGCGGCGCCGAGGCGAGTCGGGAGCCGCCCCAGCCAAGTTTGTTCCCGGTTAAACTTTCCCGGTTCCCGCTTTCTTTCCCTGCAGCCTGGGCTGCTGGTCACCAGTAAGCACCCCGGATACCCGTCCGGGGGGCGGAGGTGGGCGGTGCGCACGGAGTGGGATGGGGGTGCCGGGACCCCGGGTCGCGCAGGCGCCTTCCCCACCTCCTCGATATCCCCTCCAGCCCTCCCCGAGCTCGGGAGGGCGGCGGGGGGAGGACCGGAGGGAGGGCTCGAGGCAGACACAAAGAGCTTCCCTCCCCTCCCCTCCCTTCCCTCCTCCTCCCGCTCCTCCCCGGCCAGGAAACCCAGCCCCACGCCAGTCCGCGGGGCCACCGGTCACCCCCGCCTCCCAGACCTGCGGGGAGGGCCTGCGCGAGGTAAGGGGCGGTGGCAGCGGAGACCCCACCCCCTGCGCCCGCACCCAGATCCCGGGTCACCTCCCGAGTTTTGCGGGGCTTCAGGCGCGGGGTGCTGCACCTCGCACTCTCCACCCCTCCCGAGGAGACCTGGGGAGAGAGCAGGCGAGCGTGTGGGGCGTGGGGAGGAGACGCGGGCAGGGGGCAGCTGGTCCAGGCAGGCTCCTGGGTTAACCTTTGCCGACCTTTGCGCCGGTGGGTGCGAGGCAGCAAAGGGTGCGGGCGCAGGGCTCCAGGTGCCGGGTGTGCGTGTGCGTGCGCGCGGGAGTGGGGGCAATGGTGAGGAGTTTCGTCAAGTTCTACCTGCCGTGACGTCTACGTGTGTTAAGGGCGCTCCACGCCGTGAGCGCGGACCGGGCCCAGGGTTGCACAGCCCGAGTGCCCAGCGCAAACTGTAGGTGAGCCAAGCCCGTGCACCGGGCAGACGCCGCTCCGCCTGAAATTTCCAACCCCGGCTGAAGCCCGGCAGCAGGGTGTTGAGCCCGGGCTGGGGGCGCTTGGTCTGTCGCGGTGATTGATAGTGGCGCAGCAGACGGAGGAGGAGCCCCGGGATCCTGCCGGGAAGGGATGGGGCCACTTTACCACTTTGAGGCCTCTTCGTCCCCTTCTGGGCTCAGCCTCCACCCTTGGCCTGGGCTTCCACTAGCGCGGCGTCCACCCGCAGGTCACCGGGCGCCCCTCGACGGTCGGGGAAACAGCAGGGTTTGCAGAATTCAGCTTTAAGGTCTGCTGTTTGTTGCCAAGAAATACAGGGCAAGACCGTCCCCTGGGCCCTGAGAGGCACCTCTCCTCTCAAAAAGCTCAAGTCCTTTGGGCTTTCCTAATTCAGCAGAGGCCGCACACCAGCCTGGCACACAGTGGAGCCGCACTTTCTTGCAGGCCTGAGGGTCTCATGCACATTGTTGTTTCTTAGGAACTTGTCAGAGCACTCTGATCAACATGAGTTTGTAAATACTGAGCAAAGGAAACATCAGTTTGAGTAAGGAAACATCAGAGCATTCTGATCCATAGAACTTTGTAAATACTGAGCAAAAATAAACGCGAGGCAGCACTCAGTAAATAAAAAGTATTTTAATGCAGTATTTTAAGAGAGAAAATTTAATGTAAAAAGTTCACGATGAAGAAAAAACCACCTTCCTAAATAAAGAGGGGTTGTTATTATTACCCTGAATCATTGTGCAGTGGGAACAGTTTCCAAACCCCCAGTTTGGTCCCAGCCTGGGGGTTTATGAGGGTTGACAATGGCATGCAGTAGATTAGACAATGATAGCTTTATATGTAGTCATGTTTTTTTACTGTAGAGCTTTTAATAACTTTTTACAGAGTTAACATGTGGGCAAATATTTTGATAAGTGTACATGGAGGTGGACATTTTCCTTTTGGCCTTTGGTTCAGTATATCTCTAGAACCCCAGTACATTCCCCATACTTACACCTCCGCAGAGGGCACCAGGGATCCCTGACTGCAAGGGCCTGGGACAGTGCATGTGGGACTAGAGAAGGCTGGTAGGTGACAGGAGCTTTGGGGCTTAGGGACTCTGCTCTCAGCACTTGGAGGCTGGGAACATGAGAGAAGACCAGCCTGCTACGAGGACCTCCTTTTCTGGGGACATTTTCTTGCACACAGGTTTTTAAGTGGAGGAAGGTCTAAAATAGCCCACACTTTACCCCCATGCAGGGGCACATAGGAGGAGCTTGACTCCCTTTAGGGCTGTGGTATGTGCTTGTTTAGAGATAACTTCCTTGTAGCCCTCTTAGCACCCCCACTCAAAGTCCTCCCTTTCTTCAGATTCAAATGCCACAGCCCATTCCAAAGAGGAGTTCCTTCTCCAAAAACAACTCCTTAAGTAGCTAAACCCTCTTCCTCTGCTTAGAGGAGATGGATAACTCATGTCTCCTCTGTGCAAGAGCATGCAACACTGGGGTGGGGGTGGGAGTATGGGGCATCAGCCTTATTTGGACCATCTACACAAGCTCCCCACATGATATCATTTGGGTTTTAGGTCCCACCCACCTTGTACAGCCAACCTTCCTAAGGATCCTTCAACATTCCTAATTGTTTCCCTGATCTCTCCCCCTACCCTCCTGCCTCCTTTCCCTGGTAAGGTACCTCCTCAGCACCCCCAGAATTCTCTGTGTGTATATCACTTATGAGCAGTTTGCCAGTGGGCCCCACTTGCCTGCTGTCTGTGAACTTCCTAACATAAAAAGCCAGGTCATAGCTCTTACTGCCTAGCATTCAAGGAATGAGAATTGAAAGAATGAACAGAAGTAGCTTTTGGTAAATGCATTTTGAAAAGTTAATCAGCAAGAAGTCTATCTTCAGATAATCATATTTTTACAGCACTTTATAAAATGCTTTTATAGATACTATCTCAGTCATGCTCACAACAATACTATTAATTCCATTTGGTAGGTGAGGAAACGGGCCTGCAGAGGTCAAAGCAGGAAAGCCAGAACTGGGGTCCAGTTCTAGTAATCATTTCACTGTACTACAGCTGACTTACTAGAGGCTGTGTGCTCAGGGATATGTCCCAGGCAGTGAATGTCTAGGTAAGAGTTAACCAAGTTGTGTACAGCATACAATGGTACTAAAGAATAACAGAGGTGAAAATATTAGAGAAATGCTAACATGAACCACATTTTCCACCACAGGACCTTTCAGTGACTTTAATATTTTAATGTGCTTTGGGACTTTTTAGGATGATACCGTAATATGGAATGTTTGCCAACTTCATTTGGCCACAGAACAGTCTTTTCCCGGAAAGCACCTTCTAGATTCAGTATTCCAAGGATTCACTCTGGGAAATGTTTAGTGCCCCCAAATGTTTTTTTGTTTACCTTCTGATATCTAGGTAGTTTCAGAGGACTGTTGGTTCTCAGGGTAGTGAAAATGTATATTCTGGACATTGAAAAAAGGCACAGTATCCCTCTTGTGAATTTAGAGTAAATTTTTGGTTTTGTCCACTTCCATGTCTCTGATTAACATGAATCAGTCTCTAGGGTTTGATCAGATCTCAGGGAACTAAGGAGTCTAGTAAACAATGTACACAGGCCCTACAGCACCTTCCTGTTGCTAGGAAGCTGGGATCTCAACCAGCCTTCCCTGACAGTACCTTGAATGCAGCTGTGTATAAGGAATAGCAACTTAGGGCTTCGTGTACTGCTGGCACTTCATTGTTGATCACCTCCACTGAGTGGGAAAATATACCCTGAGTTTTCAGATGTTTCTGTTCCTCTCCCCCTGGGGGCTGTAGGGTATCAGTATCTACATTTACTCATGACAAAGTAACGACTCTAAGTGCCTGGGACCTGGAGCAAAGGCTGCCATCCCCAAGTTCCTATGCACCCATTGTTTGGAACCAGGTGTTTTAAAAAAAGATTTGGCATCCTACTCTTCTGCAGTTTTGACAGATCAATAGCCCCTGGCTATTCATGTTGACTGCATTTAAGAGCTGTTGAATGGGAAGCCAGTGTTCCTTCCCATTTCAGGGATTCAGGGGAGAGTTGGGGGCTAGCAGAGCAGCCTTGGGGACGGTGGTACCGTGATCAAAGAGGCAAGGCCAGGTGAATGTCATGTCCACCCACAGACGTATCTAGGTCTCCAGAACTGAGTGAATGTATCTCAAGGTTTGTTTCATAGATTTTTCCAAAGCTTGGAAAGTAGGTAGTCTCTGAGATCTGTATTGAATAGGGCAGTGCCACAGAAGTCAAAAGTAAAAAAGGAGTGTTTTGAGAAAAATAGACCTGTTAGGTGGGGTGAGTGTGCGTATGTGTGTGCACATGTGTGTTCTGCTTGTGTAGTCGAGGAAGAGAATTGGGGGGGAATAGTGTGATTTTACCTTTTGAGTTTAAAAGTCCTGTAGGTCACCTTGATAGACATTTTCAATAAGCAGCTGGAGATGCAGGGAGTTACTGGGGGTACTGTAGGGACCAAAGCCAGGAGTTGATGAACTTACCTAGGGAGAGGCCACAGGCCAAGACGAAAGGGGTTAAAGCAAAACCTGGACGTCCACATCCAGGGGTAGGGACCAGGGACTGGGACTGTGAAGCCAGAGATGGGGTAGAGCCTGCATGGATGAGCCCAGCATTCCAGAATTTTCAACCTGCTAGTTCTTGGCCAGTGCTGGTTGTGATTGGTCAGGGCCCAGGCTATCCTAGGTCATTAAGTTTTCCATACCATCACTGAGAAGTGTGGAGTGTCAGCTGAGAGTAGAGCCACACAAGTTAATATAGCCCCCAGCAAACCGACTCAACAGTATTATCACATTGAATAAATTGCTGATTAAATGGCATTGCCTTTTGTGGTAGAAACGGTTTTTAAATTTGCTAATAGTTTGGTGAAGGTTTAAACAGAGCCTTTTTGTAGAGACTCTCAAACAATAAAGTTGGATTTGCTGTTGGGGGAGGAGGGTGCGGCCACAGGCTTTCCATCTTGCGTGCGAGGTCTTATTCTGTTCAAGAATCTTTGGTGGCAAGGACCCCCAGCAGTAACTTTGAATACCCCAAAAATGTCTGCAGGAAAGGTTACGAAGTTTTGCTGACTTGTACTTGGAAACCACTTGTAAGAGTGGCTTAAATGATGTTGCTGTTCTTCAGTGTCCAAATGAGAAACTAATTCAGTTATGCACCCATTGAGGAGGTACT